CTTCCGGCATCCTCTCTCTCCCTCTCCCTCTCTCTTTCCTTTTCTCTCCTCTCCCATCTCCCTCTACCTCCCATCCTCTCCCCCCCAACATCCTTCTCTCTCTCTGCCTCTCCCTCCCATTCCCCCTGGACCCCCACCCCTTCCTCCCTCCCTCACCCACTCTTTCCTGCCCCTTTGCTGGGGGAGCTGCCTGAACATCACCCCCCCCTCCCCGCCCCCCATTCATTCGGCCTCCCCAGGCCCCGTCGGGGAAGTTTGCACCTCTGGACTCCATTGCTTTGGTCATTTTCACAAAGCCAGGCCAGCGGGGCAGGTCCGGCCAGCCGCAGGGGACACGGATGCCCAGGACCCTGGGCTAATCGGTAACTACAAAGAAAGCGGGGTGGGGGTATCAGGGAGCTGAGCCAGGCTGGGGGGGTGGCGCCAGCCTCCCCAGCCTTGGGTGGTTAAAAGGCTATGGTTTGCCCTCCCCCCCTGCCCATCCTCTCTGTTTGGATCAGCGTCCCCCCTCCATTTCTCTGCCCTCCCCCTCCCTGCCTCCACCTTTGGCTCAAGTTAAAACTGGCCTAGCCTGTTAGCAATGTGTTGAGGTCTGAGGCCAAAGACGATGAGCCTGGACTGTCCATCTGGCAGAGCCCAGATCCCAGGGTGGACAGGGAGGCGTGGGCGACCTGGAAGCCCAGTGTGGGAGGCAGGAGGAGTGGGGGAGGCCTGCCCACCTCCCTCCCACCTGATTCTCTCTCTGATGGGATGCTGGGAGGAGGTGCCCAGGGGCTGTGGCCCCAGCCCTGGGCTCCAATCATGGGCCCACTGTCTGAATTACGGTAGCTCTGAAGGCTCTCCTGTAAAGGTGTTGGCGACTGAGGGTGGGGACAGTGAAGGCTTTGTGCTGGACACCCCTGACAAGACCCTGGAGACGCCTTGGGGTTGGACCAGGGCCCATGACCTATTTCAGATCGTTTGTCTCCATCCTCCTCCCTGTTGCAGGCATAGGAAGCATGAATACATGTTTGTTGAATGAATGAATGAATGAATGAATGAGTGAATGAATGAATGGATGGATGGATAGATAGATGATGGACTGGGGCATGCCATAGGGAGAGTCTGGTGGGATGGAGCCAGGGCCTGTTACTGTAGCTAGACCCTCCAGCTGGTATCTTAGAGGGAGAAAGGAAACCCTTCCCATCCCCCACCTCTTTTCAAATCCAACCATCACCAAAAAAAAAAAAATCGGGCTTGGAAAATCTAATTCTTCTATGTGAACTAAGAGGGCAGGGGGTTTCCATTCGCCCATGAGTCATGCTCAGGGGTCCACGGCTGCATGGAGGGCTCTTTCCACAAGCCCTTACCCCTAGTATGCCTGAAGGGCCCATTTCTAGAAAGATTCTGATGGAGATTGGAGGGGGTGTCCACACGGCCCCCAAATGTTGAATTGAAAAGCTGTTGGTGAGCTCTGGATCGGGAAGCCAATAGGGTGCAGGAGATGGACACACTGGGTGATCCTTCCTTCTCCTTTTTTCCCATTTTTAAAATCTCCCCTGGAGCTCCCCCCACCCCCTGGCCAGGAAGAAGTGAGGGACTGTGGCTAGAGCCTCAGTTTCCCCCACTGTCCGCAGAGCAGGGCCCCTTGAATGTGTGGTTATGTTTTTCTGGCTGGAGATTCTTGGATTAGGGGCACCTCAGGGGCTTTCCCAGCAGGGTGAAAATTAGGAAGCAGGGTGTCCATGACACCTGCCTGTCACCCTCCACTTCCCAGGGGCCCTGGAAACAGGACCTGGGGCTAAGGCAGGGCGCCTGCCCTCATATCCACTCTCTGACACCCAAGGGTCAAGGATGGATCTCTCTCCTGATCCCACCTGTGCTGGGTCTGGCTGGGCCTCACCTGTGAGGGGAGGCTGGGGTGTGGGGCAAGCTGGAGGTGAGGGGTTCTTGAGGGCCAGTGGCGAGGAGGGAGGCCGGCGACTGGGGCTCAGCTGTATGACCTCTGGCCAGTGGCTGCCCCTCTCTGGGTCTCAGCCAAAGGGCGGTGGAATGATGAATGGGAAGTCCAGGAGGTGTTCAGGTGCCTCCCACCAACACTGATCTGCTTTAGTTTCCGGGGAGCCAACAGGGTTCAGGTGCCCGCTGTTGGTGCTGGCTGAGAGCTGTGGGGTCGGGGGTGTGGTCCTGGCAGGGGGAGAGGGGAGAGGAATCCCTCCCGAATGCCAGGGGATCCATGACAATGGGCACCAGGGGAGCTGGAGGGCCAGAGGGGGTGAAGTGGGTCACCATGCCGCTGGTACCCCACGCAGCAAGGGCCACCCAGCATCATCCTCATCCTAATGATCATCTCATCCTTAACTGTCATGCCTGGGGCCGGTGTAGGCCCCCCACTGAAGGGATCGCCACTGAGGTGGGCTGCGAGCACTAGCGCGTTTCACATGGAAGGGAAACTGAGGCTCGGAGGGGCCAGTGCTGGGTCTCAAGGACCAACTGGAGCTGGGGCCCCCACTGTCACCCACGTTTCTCCCTCCAGCCCAGGGAATACGAAAGTCTATCTGTGTGATGGCGGAGTGACAGGTCCCCCCAATCCAAGAGTCAGGCCCCTCAGAGATGGTGTTGGGGAGGGAAGGGGCTGTGGCACGAGGCACCCCGATGCCTCAGGGCCTGCGCAGTGGAGTCTCAAGCCAAGACCAAGGGATGGGCAGGAGGTCCAGCCACGCCTGGGGCTCTGGGAATGTGGCAGGGTCGGGGGAGAATGGGAAGGACACAGTCCTTAGAAAGAGGGCAGGCCCTTGGGCGCTGGCTTGTTTTGTTTTTAAGAGAAAGGGATGGAGACAGAGAGATGGAGAAACGGATTTAGAGACACAAGGAGAGACGAAGAGAGACTCAGAGCAGGAGCGGAGAAGGAGAGAGACACCCAGAGATTGAGAGAAACAGGGGCAGAGGGAGGACCCCCCACACACAGCCAGGGAGAGGCAGGGGGAGGCAGGGAGAGCCACGAAGAAGGGGAGCAGGGAGGCCGCTTCTCCACTCAGACCTGTGCCTCACCAGGAGCTCAGGCCAGGACCTGGGGGGCTCCCACTGGCCAGCGTCCCCATGTCCCCCCCCACCAGGCCCCAGCCGGGGACAGCGCCCTCAGAGGGGGCCCACGGAGGTGCCTGGCGTGGCCGTGCTGTCCCTCTCTCCTGAGGGGGGCCGAACATCAATGCCCACCCTGCCCCGGGCAGGCGCCCGTCACAGGGCTCGGCCATCACTGCCTAGCGGCCCCCCATTTATGGTAATCGTATATGCATTTGCATGTTAATGACAATATTTGTCTTAAAGCGGGGGTTGCGAGGGGGGCCGCTGCAGGTGGGGGGGCCGGGTGGAGGCCTGTGGTTTCCATGGGAGCACCAGCTGCTCGGCTCGGCGGCAGGAGGGGAGGCTGGAGCACGCTGAGCTCTGAGGCATGAGATTTGGAGCGGCGCGCGCCAGCCCCAGGGAGACGGAGGGCTGCCTGGGGTGGGGGGCGCCGAGGGAGGAGTTGGCGAGGTGAGAGCCGCGCGTGGGGGTTGCTGGGGGCCTGAGTCTGAGCTAGGCATGCCCCCCTCTGTGCCTCAGTTTCCCCAGCAGCCCATTCCTCCCTGATTTAACAGGCTTTTAGGAGGCCCTCGGGGCCTTTCAGGCTGGGACCGGGGCATCACCTCTGCCCTCCTTCAGGCAGAGAGGGTTGACTGAGCATCTACTGTGTGCGGCGTTTGTGGGGACGTGGGAATCCACGTGAACGGGAATCAGTGCAGGATTCACGATGGAGTGAACAAGACATGGACCCATCTACCCATATAACCGACATTTACTGAGCACTTGCTGTGCACCAGGCCCCATTCTAGACCGAGGAGACGATGTTGGGTGACACCGATAAAAATGCCCCCCAAGATCTGACCTGCCTTCAAATCCCAGTCTGGCAGGAAGACACAGTTAGGCAGGAAGGCATTGCTGTTAGGGCTGTGATGGTGGAAACACGTGCTTCCAGAGAGAGCCCAGAGGAGCTCCAGCCCCGGCCCCTGTGGGTGTGGGGACCAGGAGGGCTTCCTGGAGGAGGTGGTCAGCATGAAAGAGCAGTTCCGAGCTTGGCATTGAGATGAGTCTGGTTTCTCTGCATCTTACTGGCAGACTGTGTTGCTACCTACAGAATCGGGAGACCTGCAGGGCTTTCCATCTCAGAGGGGTCGGGAAGGCGAGGACCACAATGGTAGTTAAGACTTTTGGCACAGGGCTGAGCTCATTATGTGACCAAGCTGAGGCCTATAGGGTGAGAAGGATCTGTTGATGGGGACAGGTGTTCTTGGCACAGAGAATAGCATGTGCAAAGGCCCAGAGCAGTGTTAACTCTGGAAACTTCCGGTGGGGAGGGGCAGAGGTTTTGCCCTGGAGGGAAAGAAGCAAAGGGTCCTGGGAGCCCCAGCGTCCCCTTCTGACCTGGGACTTATCTCTTCTGAGGGCTCTTCTGAGAGGCTCTGGCATTGGGGGTGGGCCCAGGAACTATGTCTGGAACGAGCTCTTGTCTCTCTCTCTCACCCCTGACACTGGCAGATGAGAACCTGGCCATTAGGAACGCTCAGGAGGACCATACTCACTCAGGTGCCCATTCATTCATTCATTCATTCATTCATTCAGCCAACACTTCCTGAAAGCCTCTGGGACCTTGTCTCATCCTGGGTGAGGCAAGGATGAAAGCCCTCTGATGGCAAGACAGAGCTGGTCATAAGCACCTAGAGCCAATGGTCAGGGCTGGGTCAGAGGGAGGGATGCAGGGTTGAGGGAACTGGACAGGGAAACAGGCTACATGGAGGAGGGGCTTTAGAATAGGGGCTTTGAAAGATGAATAGGAGTTTTCCTGGTAGAAAAAGCATTTCATTTGTTTATTCACAGAAACACAGCAGAGAGTGAACTACGCAGTCGTCCCTGTCCTCATGCATGTGGGCAGAGGCAGCTGGGTTTACAGAGATCTGGACGTGTGGAGGGCATACCTGGAGCAGAGGAGGAATTAGGTGAGACATGGGAGATGAGGCCAGAGAGTGAGCATGGGCCTTCAGGGCCTGTGACCCCAGACTGAGGGCACTGGGGAGCCATGGAAAAATTTAGAGCAGGGGAGGAACTCAGACTTGTGTGGAAAAGGAGCTTCATGTCTCTCTACCTGCCATAGCCAGCCTCTTTCCAGCCTCCTAGCCTCATTCAGGATATGCCTACTTCCTACGCACCTGGATGGAAAAAGAGGAAGTTTCCCCTTGGGGTGAGCCCACACTGTGGGGAAAGAGGAATGCAAAGAAGCAGACATGTGTTCTCAGAGAACCAAGTTCCCCTCCCCCACATGGATCACATGAAGAGTTGGGGCTCAGAG